CTTACCAGGTCCTCAGAGCCCAGAGCAAAGGGTGTGAGATTGCCAAGGAATGAAAATGAGATTACTACCGTAAAGTAGTTTTTATTTTTATTTATTTCCCATTTATTATATTAATTTGCTTTTAGGTTTTTAAGTCCACAGTTAGTTAACATACAGTATGATATTAGTTTCAGGTGTACAATATAGGGATTCACCACTTCCATACAACAGCCCGTGCTCATCATGACAAGTGCACTCCTTAATCCCCATCACCTATTTCACCCATCCCCCCACCCACCTCCCCTCTGGTCACCATTGGCTTGTTCCCTGTAGTTAAGAGACTGTTTCTTGATTTGCCTCTCCCTTTTTCCCTCTTTGCTCATTTTTCTTAAATTCCACATATGAGTTTTTGAAATCATATGGCATTTGTCTTCCTCTGACTGACTCATTTTGCTTAGCATTATACTCTCCAGCTCCATTCATGTTGTTTCAAATGGTAATTTCACTCTTTTCTATGGCTGAATAATATTTCATTGTGTGTGTGTGTGTGTGTGTGTGTGTGTATATATATACATGTATACATATATACATATATATACCACTTCTTCTTTATCCATCATTAACCGGTGGGCATTTGGGCTGCTTCCATAATTCGGCTATTGTAGATAATACTGCTATAAACATCGGGGTGATGTATCCCTTTGAATTAGTGTTCTTGTATTCTTTGGGCAAATACCTAGCAGTGTGATTGCTGGATGGTAGATTAGTTTTATTTTTATAATTTTAATATTAATTTACTTCAAAATTGGGTAATATATGCTCACAAGTGTGAAGGTCAAAAGGACTTTCATAAAAGATAAGAAAACCATGCATAGATGTTTTCTTTTCCTTCAGTTGAATTTTATGTTAACACTTTCCCCCCTAAAATAGGACACCTGTTTGGAAATATTTTGATGATTTTGGTGCCAACGTTTTCCATATTCCACACAAGGTTTCTGTGGCTCTTCTCTCCTCTTTCTAATAAATTGCAAAATGGTAAGGGTCAGGAAGGGGGAGGACTAAAAAAAATTCATCATGCACCGTGGATTAATTGCTTTTCTGTGTTTTCCCCTAATCATCACAACACATACCTATTTTCCACGTTTTGGAGAAGAGAAAACAAAGGCTCAGAGAGTTAAAAGAATCTGTCAAAGTGGAAACAGTTACCTTGAGGTGAAGTTAAGTGTTCCAGCTAAGGGCTATTTATTTCAAAACCCTAGCACGACTGCCCAATTCCTCCCAGGATGGTTTTTTTTTTGAAATAAATGCAGTGCTTCTGGCAAAACCATAGGGCAAGGGGAAACACGTTCTCTCACTTTTCTCAAAACTGTGTGTCTGCAACTTCAGTGTGGAAATGCCAGTGAGTAAAAGCTTTCAGACTACCTGCAGTGCACATAAAACTTTTGTAGGGGAACATATAACCTGCAAACATGACTACAGGAGACATATTGGTGAGTAATTAGAGATACACCCAGAGGTTTATGTACATGCGCATTCATCACAGTGTCATTTATAATAGCTACCAATGGAGAACAATCTAAATGTCCTGCAGTAGGGGAATGATTAAATAAATTAGGGACATTTATATAATGAAATATTACTGCCATTAAAAATCATATTTTCCAAGACAATTACATTTAATGCACAATCCTATATTATTCCTGGATACTGGAAGACTTAAAAAAAAAGCCATAAAGAACATTATACGGCTAATTGGGAAATTTTTAATATGGATAATTTACCAAATAATATCATTTGTTGAATGTTGAACATAAAAATAAACGTAATTTAACAAAATGGGTTAATTCTTAGAAAATACATGCTTATATATTTAAGGATAAAAAGTCATATTTTGAAGAAGTATAAGAAGCGCAAAATATAAAATTAAGATATTAATTTTCATGTTGCTTAAAATACATATGCATAGAAAAAGACTAGAAAGACACCATAATATAAGCATTGGTAATCTCTGTGTAGTGAGATCATATGCAATTTTTAAAATTTTATCCCTGTACATCTTATCATTCTTGAATTTTCCTACTGGGACCTACTATTAATCTGTTCCCACACCTTTAAGTTATATGCACAAGGAGAAATTCAAGAGTAGAGAAAGGTTGTTTGGGCACATTGCTCAGTTATATCACCAAGAGGGCCTTGTAAAGTAATCCGAAGTAATATGAGGTGCCGAAGTAAGTACTGGAAGCATAACAGGTCAAAGTTACGTTGTTGGGGGAAGAGGTAATTAGGGCAGGAGGGTAGATAAAGTCCTCATTTGAAGAGTTAATGGAGTTTTATTGGTTAATTAGAATTCAGGGCAAAAGAGGTATAATATTTTACTTTATTTTTGTTATTTTATTTTTATTACTATTTTTAACTAGGCTCCATACCCAGTGTGGATCCCAACGTGGGGATTGAACTCAGGACCCTGAGATCAAGAGTCCGTCGCTCAACTGACTAAGCCACCCACGTACCCCATAATATTTTATTTTAAAGTACTCTAGGACAAGCAAAGATAATTTTTTTAAAAAATGAAAAAAATCAAATTGCAATCCTGTGTGGGAGATCACTCTTGACGTCCTCTGCCCTCAGGAGTCAACATACCCCCTCTCCTCTAGCCAATAGGTAGAGAGGGGAATGGCCAGGATTCTGGATTCCATGTTGTAATGTGTACTACAAGAGGCTACTTGTGACTTGCTATGTCCTGGGGAAATCTTCCACTAAGGAAGGGGTAGAAGACAGATTTGGGAAGGAGACAAGGCATTAATAGGAGGGAAAGGGGATAGCTTGAGTAATGGTGGCAGGTCCTATGTGGGACACCATTCGTATTTGAGAAAATATCTTTGTCAAGTGTTCAAAGGCAGAGTCAGAGAGACCAGGCCCTGGAACAATGCAAGGGGTGAGTTTGCCAAGCAAGGGAGTGCACCTCTCAATTGCTGATTCCAGCTACTCTCCCTCCCGTTCCCACCACCACATCTGCTTGACTTCAAGTTTATGTCGGGGAGCCTTGGGTGAAAATTTTCTTGCAACTTTTTCATGGTGGTCTACGCAAACTCAGCAGGGTAAAAATAGTATAGATTCAATCTTCTCCACATACCTGATCGGAGGCAGGCCCATACAGACAATGATCCGCATGGGATGACTTTGCCAGAGGAAAAAAATTGGCTGGTTTCCTCGATAATACCAACCCCTTTAGGACAAAGGGGAAAAAAAGAAGCTATCACCTCAGTTACACCACAATTTAATATAATGCACATTAAGTTAAAATGTATGACCTGTCTATTCATTTATTAAAATTTTAAAAAATCAATGTGGGTTTTTTTGCAATTGAGAAAGACACAGTCCAAATATATTTGGTGTTTGCTGTTCATGATTTGTTTCTTAGCTTTTTGAGGTGATAAATCAAGAATCAAATTTAATAAATTAAAAAAAATGGGGAACAGCTACAAATTGTTCCATGAGAGTGTGATTGGTTCCCCTCTGCAGTTCTCTGATTCTAAGTAGATGTGATTTCAGGGTGAAAATGCAAACAGTGAATACAGAGAACAGAAGAGGCCATGATTTGGGACCCAAAGTCTAGTTCAGATCTGCTCCCCTGCCTATGAGAACACAAGATGAAGATGCATAAGTCTGAAAGAGAAAGCAGATCTAGGTTAATGAGAAGGGTGAACACCAACCCTAAAATAAAGCCAGTTAGCTATCCTCCCTCGTTTACTTACCTCCCTCCCTGTGATTTTCTATGCTTATTAACAGATTCAATTATCAATCTTCCCCCGGCTTAGTCTCTCATTTAAAGACCTAAATCTGTGATAAACATTTTTCTTAATAATCTTGGAGTTGTGACTCCTATCAGTTTTCTTGTCTGAGACTGAAAACATGGACAGTGACTTCTGTGAGTGGGAAGAGACAGTAAGGGGTACCCTCTGTGATGGGTGCCCTTCTACAATGTGAGCAAGAAGGAAGAATTAAACCAAACAAACAAACCTGCGGAGGAAAAAAACAAAACAAAACAAAAACAAAAACAAAACCCTGCAGGCACGGAGCACTAAGAATGGGGAGCATAAGCGCAGACCTCCAGCAGAAGGTTATCTGAGACCAGCCAAAAGAAGGTCAGCCTACAAAACTTCTTCACAAACCCTAGCACCTTGGGATGGAGAGTAGACTTGATTTCACCTTCCAGTGATTAAAAGCCTTCTGCTCTTTGCAAGTAGCAAAAGCACAGAAAATAACCTATAAAAAATTCAGTGAAGTCATTTGGCACCCACAGCCTTGAAACATTTATTGAAAAGAGACTTTGCTCTGTGATCTTTGAACATATTCACAGAAGGTTCCAGCCTCTTGTGGGTATGGTAACATGAATGATATGATATCCACACCTATATTTGCAGCATTCTGAACACGTAAGCCTTCCTGAGTACAGATACTCCAGACCCCATGGGATGGGAAGAAAAGCAACTTTTCAGTGGAGGCTGAGTCATGAGTCCTCACCAACCCCGAAAAGGAGACCCATGCATCTCCCCGCCCCCAAACTAGCCCCAGCCCCAGCCCCAGAGGAGTTAGGATTGCCCCAGTATGCAAAGCTCTGCACATAGAACAAAGACACATTCAAATAGCAGAGTTCTTCTTTAGAGTCAAATAAATAAATACACTCAAAAACAAGACATATATTTATAAAACTGGCCTATGACAGTGCGGTCGGGGATAATAAGGGTGCATTCTATCTCTACAGTTTTAGTGACCAGTACAAATGTGGGGCAGTCTAAATAATGATTTTGATTAAAGACAGGATATGATCAGCCTTCTATGGTGTTGAAAGTTGGTTGTCCAATTTGGCTGTTGATTGTGGCTCAAGTTAATGGAAACTCTTTGGTGGGGGGGAGTGGCTTTCCTTTCAGATCACCCGATGTTAATAGTGTCAATGCATTAATCATAATCTTTTGTTGGTCTTAGACCTCATCCTTAGTGAAGGCTCGGGGGCATCTTCCTCAGACAAAACTGTTCAGTGAGCAGATGGTAAGTGGGCCTGTGTTTGTCCCTTCATTTGGGAGGCAAGGAGAGAAGATAGGCCTGAGAGCCTCTTGGAAAGAGGCTGGAGGGAAGCTGTAGATGAGGGACTCATCTGTCACATTGTAGAATGCTATATGTCCAGACTCATAGTCTAAGAAAACACCAACCTTATGCACAGGCTCTCTGACATGTTGACCTTTCAAAGGTGATGAGACCCAAAGGCTATAATCATCTCCAATTTTTAAGCCTATGAGTGAGAAGAGGTCCCCCGGTGGCTTTGGGAGATTGCCTTTTCTGCTCACTGAGTCCTTGCAAATGCCCACCTCCCACTCAGTCTTGTTGCCCACCTCCACCTCCCAGTAATGTCTCCCACAGGTGAAGATCTGAGCGCCGAGTACAGTTGCAGACTGGTCAAATCGCTCTGGGTTGTCAGGTAAGTGCTGTCGGATTCCTCCATGTCTCACGCTCTTCAGATCCTCAGACAAGACAAGATAAGCATTGGCTGTAGCTGGATCCAGAGTTATGTCTGCTGCAAGAGGAGAAAAGAATGAAACCTCCCTTACATTCTTGAAAACCCTCTTATATATGTGGAATTTAAATTAAATTCTTAGTTTCCAATCCTATTTTTAAAAATATAATTTAGGTGAGTGTGGTGAGGATTTTTGTTTTGCTCAGAACACAATCTCTGAGCCCTTCTTGCACTATTTCACAAACACCAGGAGTAAATTTCTAAAAAGACGTAGGTGTGAGTCATGGGGATGGTGACATTTAGCCTGCCTGAGAGGGGGGAGAGGAATCTGTGATACAATGGAATGTAAGTTGTTCTGTTTATAGCATAAGTTTAAAACTCAGAGCTATTTATCCACACAGGGCACACTCTGTCATTTGTATTCACTTGAGCCAAGGTGGGTTGTGGTTCCTCAGCTGGAGTTCTTCTGAGCGGAGGTCACAGAGGAGGCCTCCAACCGTCACTGACCCCCAAGATAAGACTAAGTGCCCCTACCACACAATTTCATACTTTTATTTATAGATCAAATCCTAATCATCACTCATTATTTGAGATGAATGTCTGTCTCTTCGATTCCACTGAAAGTTCTATAAAAGCAAAGGCAAGCCTGTGTTATTCATCACTGTAAGAAAGCCTAGAACTGAAAAAACATGGTGTGGGGCACATAGTAGGCACTTATCAAATATCTACTGAATCCAAAGCTCATTAGACCTTCCTGTCAAATTGTCAACAAGGTAAAGGTTGAAAACTAAGGCTAACCTGTCTTGGTCTCAGCCAGCCTAAAGACCTAGAGCATTCTAAAAGGATAGTTTGAGGGGCACCTGGTTGGCAGAGTCAGTTAAGCATCTGATTCTTGGTTTAGGCTCAGGTCATGATCTCAGGGTCTTGAGATCAAACCCCTCATCTGGCTTTGCACTGGGCATGGAGCCAGCTTGAGATTCTCTCCCTCTCCCTCTACCCCTCTCCCCTCCACTTCTCTGTCTCTCTCTCTCTCAAATAAATAAATAAATCTTTAAAAAAAATTTTTAAAGATTTTGTTTTCAAGATTTTATTCATTTATTTGACAGAGGGAGACACAGCGAGAGAGGGAACACAAGCAGGGGGAGTGGGAGAGGGAGAAGCAGGCTTCCCGCTGAGCAG